ATCTTTACAGGTGTGGACTCTCATGCGGCTTCCAGGTTCGACAGGATCCTCCGTGATTCATAAATGTTTCAGATCCTTAGGGTTTCTGCCACGAGTGCCTCAGCTCTGAGAACCAGGCAGGCAAGCAAGTCTGTAAAGGGTTTTGACTTTAGACCAGGATCCGTTTTGCTTCTTGTTTCTGGCGTCCTGTTTCTTGTTTCTGGTATCTTGTTTCTTGTTTCTGGTGTCATGGTTCTTGTGTTTGTTTTCTTGTTTTATGTTTCTGGTGTCCTGTTTCTTGTTTTCGGTGTCTTGTTTCCTGTTTCTGGTGTCCTGTTTCTTGTTTCTGGCACCTTGCTTCTTGTTTCTGCTGTGCTATTTTCTATTTCGAGCATTCTGTTTCTTGTTTCTGGTGACCTGTTTCTGCCCTCTATGTCTTGTTTCTGGTGACCTGTTTCCTGTTTCTGACATTCGATGTCTTGTTTCTGGTGACCTGTTTCCTGTTTCTGGTGTCCTGTTTCTGTTTCTTGTTCCTTGCGTCGGTTTCTTGTGTCTTTCTTCTGGTGGTTCGTTTCTTTGCTTCCCCTTCTGGTTTCTGTTTCTGGCTCGTGGTGTCCTGTTTCTTCTTTTAAAACATTTGCGGCTCTTGGATGGGCTGTCCGTGACGAGGCTTGCGGGTAATGGGTTGGATCGGCTGTCCGCACTGGAGCTTCCGGGTCGTGGGTTCTATCTGCACTGGGAAACCAGGCTCTTATTTTCTTGTCTTGCTGTTAGACCTCTGTACCATGCTGAAAGCCGTGCGCCAGTGACTGTTGGTTGGCAATCGCGAGAGATTGATTAATGACTAGTGACTGTAATGCAGTCTATGCGTGGGCAGCTCCAGAATGAATGACTTTGCAGATGCTAACTGACAGCCTAAGAAACGGTCCAACTCCTATTTGGCACGCCCTGGCCATGCCAATGCCGCTGGCGTTATGGAAGTGGGTGACGGAAGCCTACTTCAGAAGTTGAGCGAGGCCCCTCGGCTCTGTCTTGCTGCATGGCTTCTGCAGTAGGGGGGCAGATAGCTTTGTTGCATGCTGATGTGCAGGTGTCCTTCTTTTCCTCAAAGCTGACTTCTCAAGCAAGAAGTCGCAAGATTTTTTTACACACCATAGATGTGTACGATACTCGCACCTTTCTTGCACCCAAGGCAAGTCGTCGAGCAATCCAGCCCGCCTCTGGACCTGGCGAACCCAAAACTCCCTTTCTCTAAACTCCTCCTCAATCCCCATATGGAGCTCTTGAAGTTTGGTATGCCCTGCGGCCTTGGGAGGCACCGGATGCGGGGTCCATCGCGGCGCCTTTGGCATAAGTTGGTCTGGCCTGCGCTCGTCTTGGGTTGATTTGAGCAAGTTTGGGTTCAGCTCCCTCCGAGTACAGATCGCCGGGCACATTACTGATGACCTCATGCCACTCATGTCGCATGTCGTCATACCAGAGTTCTTCTGCGAGGAACAGCTACGCCAAGAAGCGTGCGGGAAGCTGAAGAGCTTGGCAGAGTGCACCGTCGCAAGCAGCCTAAATGCAGAGGCGCATCCGCGATCTTTTGCGCTTGTCTCGTCAGGTACAGCCCTGCTATCCGTGCATGTGGAAAACATTCCGCTTGGCAGTGCGCCGTTTGGTTACTCGGGGCGGAAGAGAGCTTTGGCCAAGTTGAAGATGATACATCTACTGTATGTGTTGACCAAAACCCCTTTTGACATCCGGCACCGACGGAAGGCAGCAGAAGTCGCCTGCTGCGCTGGCTTCCTACACTGCCTGCATAAGTGCCTGTGGAAAGGGCATCTCTGTCAGAAATGTGCAGTCTCGGCCGTGCTCCTTTATTGATCGGGCTTGTTTCGGTTCAGGCCCAGTTCGAATCGGCTTTCTGTGCTAAACTGGACAGCCGGAACCCCCGCCCCCCCAACACAAATTCAAGCGAATCGACTTGCAGCTAAGGCTTCGCCTGGGCTGCTGCGTGGAGCCTTCTGCAGGTTATGCTGCAAAAGAGAGCCGTAGCACGGCTGAACGGTTTAAGTCGTCAATGGACGAAGCGTTTGAGCTTTTCTTGTTTGGCGAGAGGTTTCGTGAATGGTTGATTGGACTTGTGCGTTTCAGCCCATGACCAGGCGGGAGGTTTCGGCTGCAGTCCCCAACAAAACACGTGTCAAGGGTGGGCCATCTTGGCGATCCGCACACGGACCACTGAAGTTCAGCGGCCCTGACTCGCAGCATCTCAGGAGCCAAATGTGTACACGTGCAGTGCGGCGGTGAGCGCTTGCGTGCGGGGCTCTGAGTGGGGTCGCGCCTTCCACTGCAAAGAAGCTTTTGGACCTTCGGAGGCTCTCGAGTCCGTGGGTTGCTTGCCTGAGATCTTGCATTCTGGTCTGCTGGGGGTTTCGTAGACACAGCGTGACTGGTCGACTTGATGGTTTTGTTGAAGCGTGTTGCTTACCAGTCTCGAGCTGCCGATGAGAAGGCCCCCCAACAAGGTTCACTTAGGTGTCTCGAGCAAGGAAGCTGGCTGAGAGAGCGAGCAGTGAGGGTTATTTTCTCAGTATGGAGGTTTGGAAGAGCCCTGCAGCTCGTTCCCCACTCCATCACCATGTTGAAACTTGAAACTGGTCCTCTTAAGGAGCCTTGCACGTTTTCGACGCCCTATGGGAATCCGGCGTGCCTTGGAAAAGATCTGTTTCATGAGGGCGGGGGCGGGGGTACAGCTTCAACATGCAGAAGGACCCAGAAGGTAGAACAAAGGCCACGGCGGTCCAGTTGAATTCAAGACACCGCATTCCCTGCCACACCTTTGTGCTGGGACCCGGATCTCTCAGACCTCCGGTCTGCAATAAGTTAACTAGACTCGCCTAGGACTTTGAGTGATTGAAGTGGGTCCATACTTGTCCAACATCCGGAACCACTCTGGGACCAGGACGAGGGCCCAAATGATCCACAAGCCCAGCAGGTCGAGCCCAACATCATCTCCTTTGGCGCGGTTCTCAGCGCTTGTGAGAAAGGCCAGCAGTGGGAAGGAGCCTTGGAGCTCTTGGAACAGCTCGGACCCTCGACCGAAAGGTGCCTCCTTTCGAGGATTCGGCTCAGAAGCTGAGCAAGCCTTCAGGTTTCGTCTCTGCGGTTGGATACTGTAAACAGGGTTGCAACTCCGTCTCGGTTCCTAAAACTCTTCTAAACCTTGGGTAGACCAAGACCGAGGGCAAAGCCGGTGCCAAGCAAACATTTTCACCTACAACGCGGCGGTGCGTGCGACTTCCACAGCGAGGCAGTGGGAGCATGCGGCTAGGCTTAGCTTCGATCTGTCTGCGTGCGTGCATGTGGTGTGTGTCTGCCTGCCTGCCTGCCTGCCTGCCTGCCTGCCTGCCTGCCTGCCTGCCTGCCTGCCTGCCTGGCTGGCTGGCTGGCTGGCTGGCTGGCTGTTTGTCTGTCTGTCTGTCTGTCTGTCTGTCTGTCTGTCTGTCTGTTTGTCAGTCTGTCAGTCTGTGAGTCCATGAGTCCCGGAGTCTGAGTCCGAGTCTGAGTGTGCGTGAGTGAGTTTGAGTGGGTGATTGAGTGAGTGAGTGTGTGGGTGGTGTGTGTGTGGGTGTGCGCACGCGCGCGAGTATTCACTTACGTAAACTTTCTCGCATGTTTGGGCTGTCGCGAGTCGCAAATAGTCAAATTCTGGCTGGACGTGTTTTGAGGCAAGTGGATGCGTTGGATTTGCAGCGAACGGGTGCAATGCTTGTTGGGGATAGAGCGGTGAGCTATGGAAGGACGGTTGATTTTCAGTGGTCCAGGATCAAGAGTTTTGGGACGATTCATACTTATGGTTATGGCATCCGCAGCGATGACATATAGACAAAGATCAGGGCTGCATCCATACACGCGGCCCAGGCCATCGTGCTCGTGAGCGAGATGCATGCCGGAGAGGTGACATCCGTGAGATTTTCCATGGGTTGGGTTCGCAGAGTTTCAAGGTTCAGGAGTGTTGAAAGTTCCATCGACAGAAGAAGATGATGATGGTGATGATGATGATGCCATGTTGGTGGCATGGGCGATGATAGAGGCTGTGGAGGCATGAAAACGAGGAGGACCTCCGGGAGTGCTTACTTGCCGTAACCCCCCCCGCCCCACCCAAACCTTGCAGCAGCAAACGCCGAGCTTTTCTCCAGGGAGGAAGGTTCAGCAAGCTTAATCGAGATTGACGAAGTTTCGGGTCCTTTCAGCAGGTCAGCCCCGACAAGATCACCTACAGCTCGGCCTGCTTGGGTTTACCCGCCGAGAGCTGGCAGAAACAGATCCAGCTGTTGGACGCACGGCTGAGGCGGGCTCTTCTCAAACTTGGAGCTCTTGAATGAGTGCTTCAACGATTCACGAATTGTGAGGAACAAGCTTGAGGGTTTTGTGAGTTGGGTATGTAGGTCAGGTTTTTTAAACAGGAAAAGATTCATGGCTGCGGGCTAGGACCTCGAGCAGCTTGCCTCCACCGCAATACAAAGAACACCGGCAGTCTGTCGGACTTGCTTTACTGGGGGGGAGCACGACTCTCCATCCTGCGGTGTAATGCGCGTGTACAGGTGAGAGACAAGGCAACAGGTCACTTCATGCGCTGTTTGCCTACATGTGAAGTTTCTGCATCAGCTCGTGAACTCCTCGATGCACTTGCTGGAAGCCCTGCTTGGCTTCCTGTATTGCAATTTGGGTTTGTTTGCCTGTCTTGATGGCGAGGATCCTCCTCAAAACCAGAAATGAGAAAGCCAATCAGACTTGAACTGGCCCGGTGCTACAGTGGTTCCTACTCTTAGTCTGTTTTGGTCGCTAAAAGACGTAGTTGGTCCGGGTGTCACTACTAGGCAGAGTACAGACCATCGTTGCGATTCGGTGGCAGTAATTTGGTGAGTGCCAGGGATGATGCTAAATGCCCCGGCAGGTTGGAGGCACCAGGCCTTGGGCGTTTACGCCTCGATCGCCCACCCCTGGCACCCCGGGATTTCGTGACCAGGACAGGCCGCTTGGGAGTTCGATGATGCATGTTGGGAGTGGGTCTTGGCTGTCTGGCCGTGATAGAATTTGGAGTCATGGTCCGGGCACGAGATTTGTAAGCAAACGTTGTCTCGGAAATCTTGAGCAGGGTACGGGAAGCTCATCTACGAGCCGGCGTGCCTACAGTAAATAGCTGCCGCAAGATGCTTAGCCTTCATGGTGCACATTACCTCGCATGGGTTGGTGCTGAATGTGTGATGCTCGCAAGGAAGGGTTTGTGGTTTGGGATCTTGTCAAGCGTTGGTCAGGATGTCGCGGCTGCGCTCAGGAGGCCTAGCTGGCCTAGCTCCCTCTTGACAGCACTTGGACTCGAAGGGGCCCAATTCGAAGAACTGCAATAAGAGTTTGCCTCCATGTGTGCAGCCATAGCTCCCTCAATGCACTAATCGACCGCATCGAGAAATCAAGGCTGTAGCTGCTCCCGTCGCAATCTGGAATTGAACGAGGTTGTACTGTGAGCTTAAACCCGTGCTTGGTTCAATCGCGGCGCGTCACTACCAGTCACTATAATACCAAACACCGTCGAACGGGCACAGCATGCCAGCGGGACAGAGGGAAGAGAGCCAGTTGGCAGCGTGGGTAAGAGACAAGCAGGCAGCAAAGCCATCACAGTTTGTAGCCTGCTCTTGTTTAGTAGGACATTGTGTCATGTTCTAAAACTGTGCGATGTTTGCCCTAAACTAGGGGCACATGGCACGCGAAGGAGAACAAGTCCCCGTGCCGGCAGACTGTCTTTCCGCAGGCCTGGCCACCAGACGCTTCCTCCGAGCCGCCGCACGGCCCTTGAAGAGGAGCATTCGTGCCAACACGGCTAAGGCAAGGCGGGCCTCGCAGAGCGAACTTCGACTGGTCTCAGTTTTATTAAACTTGTTGCTTCATGAGATGGCGAATTCGCTATTGGTCCGGAGACAGGGGGCATTTCGATGTGCCCTTCCCTCGCAGTGCAGACAGAACTTCGCTCTGCTGGTTAAAGATGCATCGCACGGACGCGTTAAAAAGTTAAACGGCCTGGCGATTGAGAGGCGACAGACTCCTGCATCCATGGTTGTGGCTAGCAATGTTCTCGGCCATTGCAGTGCGAAGCATCCACGTACCGAGCCCTAAGCCTCGACGCTTCGAAAACGCAGCAAACACCAGACTGCATTTTCCAGCTTCAACCCTTGCAGCCGCAACGCGAAACCGTAGTGAGCCGTAGTGCTGGTCGTTATAAAGCTACCCACTGGCCTTATGTCATTATGGGCAATACTTGTATATTGTGATATGCTATGTGCACTCCCAGACACATGGGGAAGGATTTTCAGGTATAGGGATGCAGACCAAAACCCATCGAACTACGTGATGCAGTTTGTCTTCTGAAAAGAAAGGTCAGCATGGCAGACAATACTCACTTATCAAGACTTCACGAGCTGTTGGAATTTTGGAGGCCACCGATGGACTGCCGGACGCATTGAAGAGGCCGCACAGAACAAGCTCTGATGCTCATTCTCATGTCAATGCGGGGAGTTCGGGCTTGCCATTGGAGACCCTGCTGGGGGGCCTTGTCAGGAAGACAAATTGTTGTGGAAAGAAACTGCTTCGCGGGCAGTTGTAGAGGTTTCAGGTAAAGTTTGGGTCCGCGTATGCTGAACTTCTCAGGTTTGGTTTTTACACATCTGGGAACAGGGAACTGGACTTTAAGCTGTATCCCTCGATGTAGCACATCTAGATATTTTTGTTGGTTGGGCTGGCGGTTTTCAATGCCAGCAATGCGGGCTCGTAAACACTGTGCCCGCAACAGATATCAGGTAGCACGTGCAAAAACGACTTGTTGTGGCTTGCAACGCTTGGAAGGTTGGACAGACTGGCACACGGTGCTTGGAAATTGATCATGTTGATCGGACATACCGGAAATCCTGCAAGAAGCTGTCGAACGAGACTGCTGTAGGTCAAGTACCATGTCGCTTCACGAAACTTGCCAGAACTCGCGAGCACTGCGGGTCTGCACTGTTTTGCTGCTAAGTATATGATGGGTACGTAGTGGATGTCCAGGGAGGGCAACACTTCCGTACATGTACCGAGTTTGCAAGTTCATGAGTGATGCGGTTGGCGAGATCAGTCATGGATGAAGCAGCATGGGTCGAAGAAGCCATCTGGGGCTGGCATAGCAGCCAGCCTGCTGCCGTTGTGAGAGAAGCAACGAATGGGTCAGATTAGAGAGTGGGAGGTATGTCAGGGTCAGACTTTGAGAATCAGCAATCCGTCGGTTGTGTCATTTGCTTTGGCTGAGACCCGCAGGGGTGGGCCTTTCAGATTGATTTGTTGCTGCTGTTTGTTGTGGTTCCGATTGCAAATGGCCACTGGGGAGGTGCGGAAGCCATGTACTTGGAACACTGCGACGATTTGTCGCCAGGGCCGGCTGCCGACTTCACTCCGTACCCTGGCTCTCCGAGGGCTTCTTCCTCGAGGGAGCTGACAAGCTTGGAGGTTCCGAAAATAAGTGTACTACTGTTAGTACTGTAGGTCTCCACAGTCACTTCTCAGTCTGAGGCTCAGGGTTGCAAGGCCACTGCTTGTCCAGGCATGAGGGAGCACCTCAGCGGGGCGATGTATTTCCAAGAGGCGACCTCCATGCTGCCTGCCGAGGTCGCCACAGGGTTCAGTGACGGTTAGCCGGTAGCCGCCTTGAAGTTGTCAACTCCGACGCTTCAAGCCTGCGGAGCCTGGGAACCCTTCCACGCCTCCACACAGGTGCTCCGAAGAGCCTGCGACCAGCTTGCACCATTGGAGAGGAGGTGCATTGCATGCTCGTTCGGTGAAGCCTCGAAATCACAGAGCCATGGTGTAGTCCCTGCCGCATGCAGTGGTCCTTGTCCGATTTTAGTAGGCGCATCTACAACGTACACACACAGGTATGAGTCACCAGTCCGGCTTCAAGACATGGAAGGCTCCAAAAAGCCTTGCGCGGCAACAAAATGCACCAAGACGCGAGGAAAAGGCCTCTTCTGGCTTTGGACCTGTGCGCAGCGCCTGGCAGCAAGTCCACGCCCCTCGGTCAGAGACCAAAGGTTGAGGATATCGAACCGGGAGGACGAGCGCAGTGAAGCTGGATTCCGTTAAGTTCGTAGACAGGCAGCTGCTGAACTGGCTGGCCGAGAGGGGCGACGGCAGCTGCCTAGTCGTGAATGAGCCGCCGGGCATGGCACGGCTTTAGAGCAATATTCAGGATTCGGACTTGTACGGGAAGTCCGTCCGAAGGGGTCCTACAGGGCTGCAGAGGCTTCAACGGCCAACATGGCGTTCCGGAATCTGTGGCCTTCTTGGCTTAGGCTCGATGCAGATCGATCTCAGAAGCTGTACGAATCTGGGCCGCTTCAGATCCAGTAGGATGTCAACCGTATTTTCGAGACTCCTTATAATTTAGATTGCGCAAGTTTTGAATGGAAAGCGCCAGACTGAACACGTTGTGACAAGAGTTGCTCTTCGAGCTGCGGCCCAGGAGAATCTCTTGAAGTCGGGGTCCACGTGCCTCGGCCCGGCGTTTCCTTCCCCCCCGCCTCCGTCCGGCCCAAAGAATTGCAATTTGACTTGGGCATGAGCGTTTCCCTACAGATCCTACACCCTTGACGAATTGAAACTTAAGGTGCAAAGGGTGCCCCTGCGGGTATGTGTACCGTGCATACGCATACGACGGAGTGTTACGTGTACATACACATGCACAAGCACATGTGTGTGCCGTGCCATGCAGACAGGAGTACTTGTGTAGTGTCATACGATGTGTCATACGATATGTCCTCCTGTCTGTTTGGCTGTATAGAGGACCAGACCTCAAAGCAGCACCTGCCCCAGACTTGACACAGCCAGGCAATGGCTCCAGTTGCGCGGCCTGGGGGAGGATCTGGGCCGGAAATTGCCGGAGGCACGATTGCACCCATAAACACCGACCCCTTTATGCCCTGCATGGCAGACTTGGTTCGCCTGTGGACAGATCACACTGGTTAGGTGCCGAGCGGTATGCAACACCCACATTGAATGCACACTACTCAAGCATGGACGGTGATGCAGGTCTTCGATGCCGTGCTGGTGGATGCACCCTGCTCTTGCGAGGAATCGACAGTGAGAGCAGGGCAGGGCAGCTTCAGTTCACATGTGGCTTCTGTTGAGCCAGGGCAACATCCGCAAGTCGCCCTTGTCCTTGCTGGAGGCAGACCGGGATGAACAGCACCTCGATGCCAATGTTACCGGAAGCTCTGAGGGCTATGATTTAGGCGCGGTGCCAATATGTATAAGCGGCCGTCATGAACCGGCACGGGCTCAGGTATCGCAAGCCAGGCTCCTACTGTAAGGCAAACTCCCAGTTCTTACTGTGAGAAAAAACCTCCTTTGGGAGAGAGCGCAGGAAGGAAGTTCCGTTCGAACACTTGCAAGAGAAATGCGCCGCTTTGCTTTTGCACAGGGTTGTATGTTCGTCCACGACGTTGTTGACTCTCTCTCTCTCTCTCCCTCTCTTTTTTT